GTATAGCACACTCGAACCGATGACAAGGGATAGTTTCCAGACTTGCACTTACCAGATGCGAACGATTGAATTTGGATTTTGTCGTACACAGCATGCCGGGCGCGCGTTGTTCGAGATCTTGCCATAAAATTGTAAAGAGAGAAGCTCTGATTCTCTTCGATTACTATTAAAAAGACGTTGACGGTAAAGAACACTGCCTTCCAAAAATTCACCGCAGAAAAGGATTACTTTCTACGTTTCGTATAAGTACTGCCGAACGTGAGGCACACTCACAAGTTGTATTCGCGTAATGAGTAATGTAATTTTTCCCTTGCAAAAAAAAATTCATAACTCAATTGCATAACAATATGTTTTGCAACGCTGAATTTTTAGGAAACAGTGTTTATTGTCGTTAACGTCTTTTTAAGGGTAATCGAAGAAAGTTAGATTTTTTCTTTTTACAATTTTATGGCAAGGTCTCGAACAGCGCGCGTCCAGCCAGATGTGTACGACAAAAGCCAAATTCAATCGTTCGCATCTGGTAAGTGCAAGTCTGGAAACTATCCCTTGTCATCGGCTCGAGTGTTTTGCACGTGAAGAATTTTTAAGAATGTTAAGGAAACGAAGGTCGGGTTCAGTTGAAAAATATAAACACATTTTCTGTAACGAACTTGTCCACCGAGTGGGGAAAGATTTTCTGGAAGAAAATCTTCGAGCGAGCGGTCAGTTGGCTTTGCCTTGCGTTACTAAACAGAACGATACGTGTGCTAACGAACACGGAATATTCTAATATGTTCGTTATTTACGCGTAAGTGAGTTATAATCCAAGAGCGGCAGCGGAATTGTTCCGCGAACAATATTCCGATCAGAACTAACAATTAAAATAAAATCGAGTATGCAAATTTTCAACTGCAAAGTGCAATGTGACAGTCGATTTGTAAAATGAAAAGTGGCAGTGAATTTGGAAAGTGTAAAACTGACAAGTTTTGTTTTGTGTTCAATGGGAAAGTGACAGTGATCGTGATGATAAGGAACGAATCGGCAGGTCACTGACTTGCTCCAAGCATCAGCTGCTGCGGACCATGTGTTTCTGTCCTCGAGTACGAAGGTCGACCCATTGACCCATTCACGTTCTCTAGGAGCAGGTGCACTTACCAACGAAGAAGTCCAATTCTGATTCTTTTCGCATTTTTCATAATTTTATCTATTCTGTAACTTGAAAAGTTGTTTGTTATTTCATTGAGCATGTTACATTTGTCCAGTGAACGTAAGTAACGACTAATCCCTTTCTTTCTTCTGATATTTAACCAATTTGTTTGTTCGTTTCTGCATGCAACATTTCTTTAATCCTATGCTCTCGTCACGAGCGTGACATACGGGCGCGACAACGCACGAGGCGGTTGTCGCGCTCCTGCCCGCCGCGTATACTCGCGCTCTGATTGGGCGGGGATTTTTGTTAATAACTCAATAACCAAGCCTCGGACAACTTTTTCGCAAAGGAAAAAGTTGTTTAAAATGACCTCAGGAACCTCCCATTAAAATATGTACCATTAATCCTAGGACACCCTGTATATCTGGTAGGCAATAGAAGAAGTTAAATAATAAAATAAATACCAAACTTATTGATAATGAAATCAGTTTTATTCAGTACCATTACAATAGAATAAAAATAAAATTAAAATTTACTGTACATTGATCGTATACTTAAAATATTGTTCTCATTTTGATTAATAATATAACGTAATTTTATTTTTATATATTTTTGATAAATTGATTTTGTTAAATGCACAACATGATTGTTTAGAAAACTTTGGAATTTAAAAATTTCTAATTGTTCTTCTTTAATGAATTCATAATTTCTATTAAGGTCACAATTTTTGTATCTTACCGCCGGACATGCTCTTGCAAACGCTATAGGCTAAGGTTGTCAAAGAATGGCATGAAAAGCAGATTGCGCTTACGCGATATTAACCAATCAAGAATGCGTTCCATAAGCCACGCTCCCTTCACTGCGGAGATGGCTTCCCCCCGCAAGCTTCTGCTCCATCCCTGTATTCCTACATCCATGGTCATTATGTGACTGCACCAAGGAGAGATTACTAAAAAAGAGTAGCAGCTTTATGGGACCTCGAGGCCCTAAAAATTTTTGGCGCCCTCTAGAATATGCTGGACCGAAAAGTAAGAAACACCAAGCAAAACTGTCGTTGATCTAGTCTTTGGGGTAAAATGCAGTAAAATGAAGATATAGAAGGAATGAGTTTACTGGTAACGATTTTTTCAATAGACGACCAGATGCTGACATGCCTATTACCTATCGTGCTGGAAAAAAGCATTGGTGCGTCTGAATGTCGGTACACGCCGAAGCAGTCATTCTACTATAATATAGTTGGCGCGGAATATTAACGTTCCTTAACCATTTTTATCTTAAAAAATTGCTCCCAATTTGCTCCCTCGGAATCTAAATTTGCTCCCATCATAAAGCTTATATTCGATAAGATATTCAT